AAATTGATACATCGTAAGAAAAAAAAAAAAATGGGCCTTGTAATGAAAAGTTTCCATTGTTGGTGTCACAAAATTGTGGGAAAAGCTACGGCAGCAAGACGTGGTGATCGTGAGATGCAAAGGCAAGAACTTTTGTTGTAAATTAAGCTCACTAATGCTTACCTCATTGATAAAATTATCAGGTCATGAGTATATAAAATCTGTGCACACTAAAAATCTCGTCAATGGAAGAAACTCAGTAACCACTCGAGGAAATCACAACTCCAGGATTATATGCATGAGGTTCGCCATTGCTTCCAGGCGACGGGTCGTTTTCCCTCGTTCATGACGACAGTACCTCCGGATTGCTCGTCAGGTTCCGGCAGACCATCACTCCTGGTAAGAAATCGAAACTGTCTTTTTTTTCCTTACCGGGTCAATTCTGGATAGTTTGTCGGGGTGCAAGGGAAACTGATCTATCAGTGGCCGACATCATTATTATCTGCATCTCGGATGATGAGATTCCTTGAGTCGAGCAACTGGGCGAGGGGTGCTCGGGAAGTGGTGGTTGATGTGCGGTTGGTTGACCAGATGAAGTCATTGGTCGCGTTGACGAGGACCAATCAGTGAGTGTCAGGAGCAAGGGGGTGAGTGGTGCTTTTGTGAAGGGAGCCGCCCGGTTGGCGACCCACACGATGCCAGGTAATGATGGCCGGTGTAGTTTTGTTGGCTGAAAAATCCTAGCACGAAAGTCCCATCAGAGGATATGATGTCGACGAGGGTGTATTGGCATTTCTCGAAATACATGACCGGCTTCCAACTTTAGTCTGGTTGTTATTTTATTTATTATCAGCATTTATGTGTGTATTTATTTATGTTTGTGTATTGGGATTATTGAATGTTGGGTTTTTTTAGTCTATGTGGTAGGATAAATAATGTTTTCCTACCCACAGTGGACACATGTTAATATGTTCACCGCTTATGTGGCATGCACACATTGGTGATGTTAATATGTTCAAAAAAATACATCACCAATATATGCATGCCACATAAGCGGTGAGCATATTAACATGTGTCCACCGTGGGTAGGGGAGCATTACTGGTGGTAGGATTGGAAATATAAATAACCGTAGGAACTTGTTGGCAAGACAGTTATTATCATATATTGAATGAAAATCATCGTGTTCTTTGTGAAACTTCTCTGTACACAATCTTCCATCACATGTCTACTACATCATTTGGTATCAGAATACTGATGCGCCGCCATCTGCAATAGTCTGATTAATACCTAAAGTGTCGATTGCGCAGGTAAGAAATAATGAGGCTATGATGTGAACGAAAGCGGTGTGGTGTGAGATGGATGTTGTTCATGTTCTTGAATTTCAGAAATTTTTGAATTTTAGAACAGTGCAATGAGATTGAATGTTGTCGAATGGCGGTCTCGAAAAATAATATAAATTCTGTGCGTGTGAATGCGACTTGGGTTAGTGATAAACTATTCTGGCAACCAGAAGCTTTTGGAGATGGAGAGTAGTTTGGCATGGTCTGTTTGGTTGGAAGAGAAGGCTACCGTGAGGCAGCTGCTTTCATCACGATAGACAGATGTGTAGTACAATAGAGTGATCATGTTGTTGACTGTGATAATCAAAGAGATCTTATTCTCACTTGCTTA